TTAAATATAAACCAGCAGCACAGATGACTGTTCCTGATGCTTTGTCCCGTTGTTTCGATAAAACTGTTAAACATTCCGATCATGTCAGTCCATCTGAAGATGACCCTTATTTTCCATATATTCCAGAAGCTGTTCCTAAAATAACTTTGCCCGGTGGTGTAGATTTTCCAAATTTGTTTTGTGCGGATTCAAATGCTGAATGTAATCGTGTTTTTGTGGATTATACTGATCAAGACCCATTATATGATGCTGACACAGAAGATTGTGATATTGATGAATTTTTAGTTAATAATGTGCCTTCCAATTATGAACAATGTGCTGCAGTACATAATTCATGTATTCCTTCAGACACTTGTGAAACTAGTGATAATCTAACTCATTTCATGCCGTCCACTACCGACTGTTGTGATATAAACTTTAGTGATTATATACCTGTCAGCTCAACTGATACCGCACCTATTGATTCTATATCAGTTGAGAGTATATTGTTAATGAAACATTTTAATTTTAGTCTTTCAGCTATGGCTGAATTACAATATAGTGATCCATTTTTAAAGCATATTATAAATTATCTTGTTAAAAATGTTTTGCCTGATTCTCAGTCTCAATCTAGACGATTAATTGTTGAAGCCAAAGATTATATGGTTTTTGAAAATGTTTTATTTCATTCTAGAACTGCAATATCTAAACGTTCCAAAACTTTAAATTGTTATCAACTTGTTGTGCCTTATGTCTTAGTTCAAGAACTTTTACTTTTATACCATGATTCTCCTTTAGGTGGTCATGGGGGGATACAGGATACTGTTGACCGCATTAAAGAGTCTTATTATTTTCCTAAAATGAGCACCCTTGTCTCTGACTATGTTAAGTCTTGTCATGCTTGTCAAAGTAGAAAGTTAACTAAAGCACATACCAAAACAGCCATTGTTGCATATCCTACACCACATGCTCCATTTGAAGTTTGGGAAGTAGATCTTTATGGGCCTTTACCTAAAACCCCTAAAGGAGATTGTTATGTATTCACCGCTGTTGATATGTTCAGTAAGTTTTTAGTTTGTTATCCAATTGCTAATACTGATTCCATAACTGTTAGTTCAGCACTCTTTAATTTATTTTCTAACTATGGTGTTTGCCATACGTTAATAAGTGATAAAGGTAGAGAATTTATTTCTAAATGTACATCTGAAGTTTGTAAACTTTTGTCAATACCTCAACAATTTACTCCTAGCTTTATGCATCACTGTTTAGGAGCTTGTGAACGCTTACACAGAACTTTGGCTGAGCGGTTAACTCCTTATGTGTCAAAAAGTCCTTGTTCCTGGATTGATATGTTACCTGCAGTTGTTTTTTCCATGAATAATTGTGTTAACTCATCTTTGGGGTTTTCACCTTTTGAAATCATTTATTCCATGCGTCCAAAATTTCCTTTAGCTAATTTTTCAGATAGTTCTCGAGAAACTATACCAAGTGATATTAAGACATTTATAAATAATCAATCTAAGAAACTCAACTTCATTCGCCAGCAAGTTGAAAATAATGCTATTAAAGCACATGCTAGAATGTGTGATAGAGTTAATGCTAAAATTAACCCTTTAAACATTGTTGTTGGTGATTATGTTTATTTAAATGTCTCTCCAAAAGGTCCTGGTCAGAAATTACAAAATAAATATTCAGGCCCTTATGTTATTTATACTATTTGTAGTGACCATATAGTCGATCTTAAAGATCCAACTTCTTCTAAACTTATTCATAATGTCCATTGTGATCGTCTTAAATTGGCTTATATCAGGTCACCTAACCCTTCTTCTTATTTTCCTGGGAGTGTTATCACAAACATTAATCAGACTGTACCAGAGCAGTCAGACTCTGATTTACCCAGTGAGAGTATTTTACAGCCTAACCAAACTTTAAGTCAGCCCATTACTACAGATGGGTTACCTACACCTTGTAAAGACTCTCATAATATTCAACGTGACTCTTCAAGTCCCACTATGTGTAGATCACGAATCCCTGTTCCAATAAAAGACATTCAACCCTCCCAAAGTGGTGTTCGTAGAAGTGTGCGTTCCAGACGTAAACCTATTAGATTTCGTGATGCAGCAGTGGACTGTAGTAGTATTTCGCATAATAGTGACTCTGATGGTGGTTTTCATAAAATCCAACGTGTGTTAGGTCAACGCCTTAAAGGGGCGAAACCAGAATATCTTGTTCAAATTCGTGGTGAACCAGCAGATCAGGCTTTTTGGGTCTCCGGCTCTAAGTTAGACCATCGTGCCAAATTATCAATTCAAATGAAACCACCACCATTCATTTAGTGATAAACATGTGTATATTTACTCATATTGTTTTACTTCTGTATGTATATCATATGCACGACTTTTTTATGCAGTGTTATGTTATATTTTTATATGTCTAATTTTTTTTTATATACGCTCACATGTTGTCTAGCAACCTATCTTCCTAGGATTATTTTCTATAGTTACCTATACATGTAGGCGTATATATATATATATATACTGTGCATGTAAGACAGTATTACTTATATCCCAGTTGGATATGCTTTCAGTCTATTTTATTTAATTTTTGTAAATGTTATTATTGCAATACATGTAGTAATGTTTATTGTCTTACATGGCATGTTATCTTATTCATCCATTTATCTCATTATACCTAACTTCATATGTCCATGTTCTTGTTGTTTTCCCACACAATATGTAACTCAGGTGTTAAAGAATATACATGTATATATTTTAATGTCCTTGCTATGAAGGATATTTTTCAGGGCATTGTTGCCAATATTGTCCACTTTTATTATCCTCTTTGTATTTTGTTTGAACTGTTTACATTTATCGGTCTTTCTTTTGTCAATTTTGTTATGTATAGTACTCTTGATTATGTTTCAAGATACTAATAGTCTCAACACAAATCTTTTATCATCGGATTTTAAACAAAATTATTTTGTTTTTTTTTGCCGGCGGGGATGTTATGTATTCACATACATTTTATTATGTGTTGGCCTTATTAATACGAAATCGAGGTTGAGGAAAGATAACTCTCGAGTCAGGAGTTTTTGTTTTTCTTGCTGTGTCGTTGAAGCGCTCGAATAAGATGTGATTGTGATTTTGCTGTAAATAACTTATGTCTTTGTGTGGTTCTCAGAATACAATTAATGGAGATGATTTTGTGTATTAACTTGTTTGTTCTACCACCATTGTGTTATACCCCCAAATACACAATATAAACATTTATTAAAGGTCAGGTCAGTGATGCAGGACGGATGCACTGATGCAGGGCCTGACAAGGACAGCTGTCTAGTCGCTCGGATGGGACAAAAAAACACACATTGGCGTGCACGTAAAAGATCCCTTGACAGTTGGAATTCGATACAAGAGTAGGCCGTAGTGCCGCTGTCCTGGCAAAATTTCCCCTATGGTACACTGTATAGCATATGCCCGTCTTCATTAGCCCAGTTCGGGGCAGAACAGTAGGACGTTAAACTCTATTTCATTTCATTTTCATCTTATACAAAGGTATAAGAAAGCTTTCGCAATACTTATGTGAAACAGATTGGATCCGGACGTGTAATGAGATGAAAAATCATGTGACAAATGGGTTATCCCATGTCAAGTGGACCAAATTTCGGAAAGTTGGGAACATGACCCCCTCCAAAAATATTATAAAAAAATATATGTTACAGTAATAAATAATGGGCTTAAGCTAAGAAATCCGACATTTTACCTCTCCAGGTTGGAAACTCCCTGAGATATGGCCATTTGAAATTAGGGCACTGAAACGGATCATAAATTCAGTGATTTTTTTTCAGGTTTTCGGATGTTTTAAACTCACATTTCTAATAGGAGTAGAACTCTCTCACTTTGTATCTGAGACAACTGTTGGTGTAGATTATGAATTTAGCATCACACTCATTGTCCAATGCATACTGTTCGCGCCACCAGGCGGCAAAATGTGGAACAGATGAACTATTCACCTTCATTTTCGGGATTTCCACAGCCTTTGGCAAAGTCACTATTGCATACACAACCTCCAAAATTGGCATAGTTAATGTCAATTTGTCTTATATCAATTTACAAAAGATTCCGAGACGATGGGATATATACTTTTCTAAATATCCAGTCTCGAAATTCAATGCACATTGAAAACATACAAAATATACCCATTTTCACCTTCAATTATGGCAATGTTGGACAGAAGTTAATATTCTGAAAAAGTTTGATAATAAAACTTCAATTACCCTACTATAACATACATTAAAGTCAATTAAAAATATAAGCCTACAATATGTAGTAATACGTAATGAATGCATGATACGTCTCTAGTCTAACAAACATGCATATAATTTTGTATTTGGTGGCATTTGGTCCATTAGGTTGGATTCAAGAAATGCAAATCCAACACAGCTTGTGGGGTACTATCAATTTCAGAGAAATATAACTAGAAATAAAAGTAAGTTTATCTCTGAATCAGGATGGACTTTGTAAATGAAAAACAAAGAACAAACCGAAACCGAAACAGTAATTTCTTCTAATTAATTCGACTTCTCCGACTGTAAAATCCTTCGCATATTAACCAAAACTGTAAAATATACTCTGTGCCTAATATTAAAGAAGAAAGCAATGCATTCAGTTTTATGCATTTCAAGCATTGAAATTGCCAAATAACCCCAAACATTTTACGGGGGCTTCCCCTTTTGAACTCCCACTATGTATTAAGAACGACCTACGGGTGTATACACCCTTCGTCTGGAAATATAGCATTTCATAAAATCTCTGTCCCCACCCAATCTGCTGTTTACACACACGCACACATTCGCTTTATCATTTTACAAATATGGTATGACTAATCGTTGCGTGGGTTGGATTGTAGTAATAACATGCGCTGTGTTAACTTTCACTTTATAAATTACAAATATGGTATGACTAATCGTTGCGTGGGTTGGATTGTAGTAATAACATGCGCTGTGTTAACTTTCACTTTATAAATTACATTTTAATCAAGCTACTACACCGGGAACAACACAATTGAAGAACCCAGCAGTACTGATAGATGACATCGTTTGAAATAGTATAGGGATCTTTGCCAAGGTAAAATGGATTGATGTTTCACTAATGTTATATTGTGTATTATATATCCACAGTGTGTATAGTTGAAATACGCGCCAGCTCGAGTACAATGTGCAAATTATGTACGAGGTCTCTATCGCCAAGTATATTTTGTATATATTTGTAGATAATTGTAAAACATTATTTAAATATCTTTTTTACCATAATGTTTTAATGAGATAAATGGTGTAAGGCGCCCTGGGCCTACATTACTGACTGTAGATTCAGTTATTGGAAAATACTAGATTTTATAATAAAGCTAGGTCAATTTACCGTGTAGTCTCGACAATCCAGCCCCTATATCCTTTAGCAAGCTGAACTCCAGTGTCAGCTGAATTCAACAACGTGTACCAGGAAAGATTGAAGTGACATATTGAATACAAAGTAATAAGAATGAATAAATTGTACTTCTATAGTGTGACACACATGAATACCAGAATATATCTAAAATTTGACCTGAGGAAACACGATTTCCTATATTCAGGGCAGTACTTGATAAAATCAAATTAATCTTGGCTCCCGTCGTCTTTATCCGTTTTACGATGTTTGAACAAACAATTTCTAAATCGTGGCAGGCTCTCGAAAAATGTAATAAACACTCAAAAATTACAGATTTATATTTATAAGCGTGTATCAGTATCATTGTCGGTTCAAATGAAATGAAATGAAATGGGGTTTAACGTCCCACTGTTCTGCTCCGAACTGGGGAGATGGGTGTGTGTGTTGGGGGGGGGGGGGAGATGGTTAGCACGTGTATCATAAGGTCTGTCATCGAGTCAACTGGCGTGCATTCGATTCCCCGGTTGTACCTGACAAGGAGTAGAGTCACATGTCCAACCTCGTGTGTTTTCTCCGGGTCCTCCGGTTTCTGCCCACTGCTAACAAACCCTACTCGCAAGCGAATTATTGAAATACAATTGAACCATATGTTAGTGCCGAAATGACCTGGTTTGTGTCGAGTGGACGTTAAACCCCATTTCTCTCTCTCTCTCTCTCTCTCTCTCTCTCTCTCTGCTCCGAACTGGGCTATTGAAGTCGGGCATACGCTATGCAGTGTGCTATGAGGGAAATTTTGCCCGGACAGCGGCACTGCGGCTTACTCTTATATCCAATTCCAACTGTCAAGGGATCTTTTACGTGCACGTCAATGTGTACACGAGGCCTCGTTTTTGCACCATTCGTTTCGTGTTTAAGGCGGTGGGTTGTGTCAGAGCAGTGAGAGCACGAGACTTTTGATACAGAAAGCGAACGAAATCATGAGACTGAATGCCACACCCAACGATGTGATCGAAGGTCATACTGATTGCTGATAGATATTAATAGATATTAGCAGGACAGTATACCAATTGCAAAAGACCGGATTTCAGAATTTCAAAACAAGGATTTCTCATCTTGAGACACGTTAGGGCACGTTACAATAGGCCCTGCTGTAGTTCATAATGAAACGAGGGCTAGTTTCGTTTTTGTTCTAACTATTTACATTGTAGTTTCAACAATCAAGTTTGTGTATCGTTCAGTGTAGACTGAACCGAATGGCATATACCAAGAAAGAGTAAAATGACGCATTTAGTAGAAAGCTATATGGGTTAATGCATTATATAACGTCTATAGTCCAGCGTGCATATACTGATAAGCTGTTTACGGTGGTATACATATCACATAAATAGCTACAATGATCACGTGATGAGGGAGGGGCATCTGTCATCTTGAGTAATATTAATATCCTAATTTTCTAAATAACAATATCACCACCCTTAGGACATATTACATCTATATCTTGTCACACTGATCCGCAGTGAATATTCGCTAGGCCGCGACAGTCACTGATAAGGATAACATCTATGCGACTTAATGAGCCACAAATATTAACTTTTTTCCTCCGACATATTAAATTCTAAAACATTTTTTTGATGTATTAGAAAAATAAATAAAGACGTTTGGCGTATTTGAAGGTAAAAATTATTTCCTCTTTAGTGTATATGGGTATTAACACGAATAAGAGGCTCCATTCCGCCCGAACCAGTAAGTTCTTATGTAAACAATGAATGCACCATTGACCTAATGATTGACGCCACGCGTGGAAGGTAGTCATCTTTTACAGAGATATTAGAAGACTTTCGTAATCCGCAGTTAAACATATTGTTATCTTGTATCAGATTACTTTAATCTACAAAGTATTAATATATATAACTGCAAAGTGGATATGATATAAAGAAAATGAAGGGAATAAAACTCATAGCTATGTTTATATTAGGTATTTAATATAGATATTTTGGTTCATCACCTATTGGTTCATCATCAACCGAATTTAGCAGATATAGTATTGATTCATTGGTGTTTATCAAAGTTTGATCAAATGCGTTGTTTGACCGGGTGCTATTGTGTCGGGTGTGACCGAATGGTTAGCACGTGCGCGTTGTTTCATGAGGTCTGTCATTACTCAACTGGCGTGGTTTCGATTTCCCGGTTGTACGTGACAAGGTGTAGGGTCGTCTGTCCAATCCCGTGGGTTTCCTCCCACTCTTTTTTTTTCTAAACAATTTGAAGAATTTCAAACATATGATGTTTATTTGAGAGCAAACTTAGACGGTTTCACACTTCTTGATTTCTTATTTATTCCATAGGTTAGATTTCAATCAATTGATTTCTTGTTCTGTTCTCCATTGGTTAGATTTCAATCAATCAAATTTCAGTTGTACTCAATTAGTACTTTAAGAAGATAAAGCTCGTCACCCATTTTCGACATGAACCACTAAATGGTTTTATTCCATATTTTATGAAATTGAAAACTGACAAGTTTTACTTCACTATTCAGCCACTTGGTAGATGTTAATCTGCGCGAGTGCTAAATATTTGGTAAAAGATTATAATTCCCAGCCGTATCGTTTGGTAAAAAAAAGAAACGTACTGGTTATAATTTGCAGTCATGACCTTCCAGATTAACGTCGCTTGATTACGATTTCAAACTGTATCTTAATGAATTTTTAAGATAATGTTCAACTATTCATATTCAGGGCCCTTATTCACGAAAACTTAAACTAAGATACAATCGAAATTTTAAGAAATACTGCAATTCGATTGGCTGACCAATATGCAAATTGGATATATGCAAATTGATTTTACTGGTCAGCCAAACGAATTGCAGTATTTCTTAAAATTTCGATTGTATCTTAGTTTAAGTTTTCGTGAATAAGGGCCAAGATATATTAATAAAAATTTTGGACAAAAAGCGTTAAAATCGTGACAATGTTTGTGTGTATTGCATAGTTTATTGAAGGTGTATGATTTTGTCTCTATTAACCTATATTTATGTTTATAATTTTAAGCGTATCTATCTTCTAAATCTACATCACATCACTGTGATTCATCTTGAGTCAGTATTTATTAGGCGGCTGACTTTTCTACAAGGCAAACTGAAACACAATTTCAATGACACAAACACGATATTAGTCACCAAATAAAATAGAAATGAATAGAAAAACAAACAAATAAAGATAATTGTATGTTTTAAGAAAAGCAATTTTAAGATTTTCTATATATCTAAACACCTCAACTCTAATGTAAGGTCATTTAAAAGGAGTCGGTTAGATTAAAGATTAATAATTACCAATAAAGGTAATATAAGTTTTTTATACACCCACATAGAAATGTGGACGTATATTGCCGTCGCCCCAGTCCGTCCGTCCGTCCATCGTCCACAATTTCTTGTGAAAACTCTAACGCCAAAAGTTATCATCCAGTTGTTTTAAAATTGATATACATGTATGTTGTTTGCATTAGTGAGATGAAGAAGTCTATTTAATTTCAATAATTTCCGTTTATTACTTATAAAGTTATGGCCCTTGTTTCACTTTGTTGAACCTTGTGAACGCTCTAATGCCAAAAGTTAACATCCGATCTTTCTGAAATTTATATGCATTATTTAAATTAGTGAAACGAAGAAGCCTATTATTACGTCTGGAGTTATGGTCCTTGTTTCACTTTATTGAACCTTGTGAACGCTCTAACGTCAAAAGATATCTGCAGATCTATATGAAATTTGCATGCGCCATTTAAATAAGTAAAGAGAAGAATCCTATTGAATTTCAGCAATTTCCGTTTATTACTTCTAGAGGTATGGCCCTTGTTTCACTTTGTTCAACCTTGTTAATGCTCGATTGATGAAAGTTATCTTCCAATATGTATGAAATTTATATTGTCATGTATTACATGATATTGTTATGTGTGTATAATTGTCTCTATGATTATAATGAATAATCAGTTCATTGTTGTTACTAAAGTTGTGGTGTGATTCGTCTGCTAGCATTGTTGCAGAATTTAGAGACTTTTTAATCAAGACGAGCGCGTGCTGGTGACCACGTGATGCTGGGGTTGCGGCAGAGGCATGGCAACCAGCGGCATGGTGGAGATTTGTTGTGAAGTTTCGTGTGTAAATTCTTTCATTGCGTAGTTAGATATAAGTTATTGCATTATTTTATACCGTGTGAATGTTCGGTAATATGTCTAAATCATCGTTGATAACTCGTATCAAGTTCGTTTCATGATTATAGTAAGTAATTCGCGATAGAGTAGAAGATTCCAGCATCAACGCAGATTCCAGAATAGTTCGACCCACGTGACATCGGAATGTGTGTTGACGAAACATGTATGTTATGAACTGATTCTTTAATATATAATTAATAATACTGTCTAATATTTAATGTCCATTACAAGTCCGTTACGTATGTTTTTGTATGATTCTCTCGTATTACCATGTTTGTGATTGTTGTTTACCGTTCACTGTAATAAATCATGTTATTAATTGTACATTGACGTTTTCTATAATTTCTGCTGACGGGGCGTATTTCATGAATAGGTTATTTCTGGCCTTGTTTTAAGTGACGTAACAGAAATTGGGGGCTTAAGTCCGGGATAATCCGTATATATTTATGATATTAGTTAAATTTCTTATGTAAACGAAATTTATAATACACAGATTTTTG